GAAGCCGGGCCAAGAGTCGAGGTCGGAGCAAGAGTCGGCCCCGCAGCCAGAGCCGGAGTCCTGAACGAAGCAGGGCCAAGAGTCGAGGTCGGAGTAAGAGTCGGCCCCGCAGCCGGAGTCCGGACCGAAGCCGGGCCAAGAGTCGAGGTCGGAGCAAGAGTCGGCCCCGCAGCCAGAGCTGTAGTCCCGATCGAAACAGGACCAAGACCCGAGGTCGGAGCAAGAGTCGTGCTTTCAGCAGGTCTAGATCCAGGTCCCGTTCTAGAGGCAGGAGTTTTAGCAAAGTAGTGAGTCGTGGCCGTAGTAAGAGTCGCAGTGTGAGCAGCAGCTCCAGCTCAATCTCGAGCAGCCGCAGCCACAGTGGAGATGAAAGATACAAGAAAGGCTTTAAAGAGCTGGAGATGGCTCGACGCCGGAAAGAGCTGGAGGAGATACTGAGCCTGCCGACAAAATCCATCCTGAAGAAACGCAATGATTCGCCATCGATCCGGGTAGGATGCTAATAGAAAACACACTCACTGACTCCAACTTCACAGAACCCACAGAAGCATTTGCATACATTCACATGTTACATACCAAGGTTGTTTCCATGGAGACAGTGCAAAACAAGCTAACATCTTTTAGAGAAGAAACATCTTATCTGAGCTTTTTGCTTGTTTCTTTTTCAGAATGTAGACTCCCCCCGAGGCCTCGACGGCTCCAACGTGTCTTGTGTGGCTGACCAGCTGCTGCAGGCGGTTAAAGGCATGGAACCTCACATGGTAGCGTCCGTTTTGTCAGAGCTGCGGTCTGACCCACAGACGGTTCATCGTGCTGGCTTCGAGACTGAGATCAAAGAAATCCTCAACCTGTTGGAGGGGGCAGGGGTCAAGACCCAGATGAAGGCCGTGGACGACATTGATGATGAGGAGAAGTTCCTGTACGGAGACTCTGAGGAGCCCAAACCTCCACCAGTGTCCGAACCGGTCCGTCACCATGGGCTTGATATGTATGGAGACGTGACGGAGGAGGCACTGTACGGAGATTACCCCCCAACAAAAGCCACCATCGGTCAGACCTTTGGCCCCCCCACAGGGGCCTCATCTCACCTTCAGGCCACATCCACCACAAAGGAGCCGGACCCAAGGAAGGCCAACCGTCCCATTATCAGCCTGGACCAGAACCCCACAGTCCAGGTGTCAAACCCCGCCCACCCCTCAGGTACAGAGTCACTGGAGGAGTATGAGAAGATCCAGGACCTGCTGAAGACCATTGGACTCGACTTGGGTGTCACAGAGATCAGCAAGATGGCTGCCAGAACCAAGGAGCGTCTCCATGGAAACAAGCCTGTGAAGACGCCCACGCGTCGCAGGCGGTACTCCTCTGACAGCTCAAACGGCAGCCAGGGCCGCAGGAGGCCGAGCAGGAGCGGCAGCTCCAGCAGCAGTAGCAGGAGCAGGAGTCGCAGCTGGGGTGGTAAACGGGGGAAGAGTTGGAGCAGCAATGAAAGCTGCAGGAAGTCGGCTCCAATCAAATCTGTCAAAGACGAGACAAAGGTCGAACAGAACGTCACAGCGTCGCAGGCACACAATCAACTTCTGCCACAAATCCCTGACCCCCAGACCCTCCCTTCTCATTCTGGGGTGCCCATACCTACCTACCCCCCCCCACAGGTCCATGGCATGATGCCCCCTAATTACCCCCCACCAGGTTATGGCCAGTACGGAAACTACCTGCCCTACATGCACCAGCAGTGGCCGCCACTGTACCCGCCCCCTAACATTACCCTGCCCCCCCGGACTGGATCTGACGAGTTCCCTACTGCTCAGCCGTACCATAAACTCACCTCTGAGCCAGGGGCCAAAGGTCAGTCTAATCAGTGATCAATATTAAAGGAATATTCCGCTTTTTCTCTTTATTCCAGCAGATTTGAGAGTGAAAGGTGTGAATGTGTTGAGATGTTTGAACAGAAGCAGGGTTGTCTTCATCATCATCTTCATGGTAGTTTTGTTTCTGTCCAAAGGTTTGGTGAAGACGTTAGCTCAGGACAGAGAGAAGAGCATCTCAAAACTCAGCAGCTATGACAGGGAAGTGTCTGAGGAGCAGAACAACGAGAGTCAGAAACAAAAGGTTCGACTCACGTCAGGGTGCGACACTTTTACACACCGGGTATGAAGACATGAAACAGGAAGTGTTTCTGCTCTTGTGTTCAGGTTCTGGAGGAGCGGGAGAAGCTGAAACAGGAGCGGGAGGTGAGGATGAAGAAGAAGGATTATCTGATGAAGGAGCTGGAGAGACTCAGAAAGCAACAGGGTCAGTTCACATGATTGACCTGAAACCACTTGTTTATTCACACACTACCAACATCAATGATGTGACCTTTGGGTGGCTGACTGCTGCTTTGTGTTACAGGTGAGCTCTTGAGAAAGAAGCGCCGGGAGAAAGAAGGTCACAAAGACCCTCTGCTGCAGGAGATCAGTCGACTGCAGGAGGAGGTCATGACTCAGATCTCCAACCTCCGCAAGGAGCATGAGGCTGCCGAGAAGAATCGTAACGAGATCGACAAAGTAGCGCTCATCCTTGGCCTCAGCACAGCCGACCGGCCCCGCAGGGTTAGCAAACCCACTGAAGACCAGAGCTTTCAGTCGCCAGAGAAGAAGAGACGGGAGGCTGAGAGGAGTCCAGAGGCACAACAGGCTTCCAGCAGCTCCACGTTAAAGGTAGAAACACCTGTGGAGGAATTAACAGGAAATATGACTGAACATAAATAATCACCACAGGTCGACATCAGAGGTCATTGTCACACATCAACACAGCCCATCACCACATCACATCATCACATCATCACATCTCATCTCCACATCTCATCTCCACATCTCATCACCACATCTCATCACCACATCTCATC